TGATGATAAATTATATAAATTTAAATTTAGTTAAAATAGAAATAAAGAACAATCATTTATTGTATCAAAAACGAATTGCACAAGCTAGTATAGTCACTCCCTCTATTTTCTCTACAACTTAAAATTCTCTACCAGTGAATCCTGTCATTCCTAATACGGATGACGACTGCTTGGCGGCAGTACCCCGCAGAGAGGTAATAATCGTGACATAAAAAATTATTTTGCCGCAAAAATCCCATCCCCCAAATTGGAAAAGTGTTGGCATTTTCAAGTTGGCTCCATCCCAACATAGAGCTATTTCGTCTTTTAAGGTGTTAGTTTCTACTGAAAACATGGAAATTTTGTTAAACAAACCGTTGCAGCCGGTTGGATCCTTAATAGAGGAATTCCTCGAGGTCATCCCCGTAATATTAAATCAGTAGTTCTTCCACACTCAAAAAATTAAATGTTTCTTCAGGCTTAGTAATTTCATTTACCAAAATGTTAAGGGTCTAAAGCCAAAAAATCGCTTCTCTTTTCGAAATTCTGCGTGCACGAAATTTTCTTGTTTGGCTTTCACTAAAACCTGGTTGAAGCCTAATTTACACTCGCCGCAGCTTTTTTAGAATTCTTTCCCAGTTTTCAGCAAGAAATGATTGGATCACACTGGTGATGGTGTTTTCACATTGAAATTTCTCTATCATCTATCATCCACCATATTGAAATTTCTCTATCATTGTGCTATCTATCAAGTTTGGCAACTATGCGCGCGTGTTGTTGTCGCGTTTTTAATTCTTTGCAAGAAATAATTCAATTTCTGAGTGTATCTCGTAGCTTTATTCGAGTCTAAAGTATAAAAACCTTTAAAAGAATAAAGTGTGTAATTTAATTTATATGAAATATATCAATCTTTTACGTGAAATTCTGTTTGGTTTTGTGCAATCAACAATTAGAGCTCTTGGTAATAGTCCTTCTTTTTACTTTTAATCTTTGTTTACAGTTCGTTTCTCTTTCACTCTATATTTACGGTGTTAACGACAGTGAGAAGTATAGTTTAATTTGCTGAAAATTTTTGTGTCTTGGAATCTTCGTGTTTCACTGGACATGGATTCTTTATTTACAGCATGTCGTGGGATAACAGGCCCTGAATCTGTACGATTCATTTCGTATTGGCCCAGTGATCGTTTTTGTCATGCAAAGTGTGCTGGTACTATCGGGCGTGCTGCTGATGCGGTCTTGGATCCCTCAAGAGACTTACGATGGTCATGTCTTTACTGTAGAAAGCGGGACATAGATTTCTACAAACTCTTCACGGAGACGGGAAATTGTTTCTCAGATTTAAGGAAAAATCTCTGCTCCTTGTGGCCCGAAAAGAAAGATCTACGAACACCAACCTGTTAGAGTTTACTTGTCATGTTTTCAAGCCTCTTTCTAGTGGCGCTCGCAATGATGTCATATAAATTGATTTTAGTAAAGCATTTGATTTGTTTGACCATAAACTACTTATCTTTAAATTCCAAGCCTCTGGCTTCGCTTTCTATTTAGTGAAATCGATAAGCTCTTATCTGCAAAATAGGTATTTAACTTCATCACTTCGTACCTCAAGGCGGCCACTTAGGACCCATTTTATTTAATTTATACATGAATGATTTGTCCTCGGTGATTACATTCAGCAAGATCTTAATGTATGCTGATGATGTGAAGCTGATTCCTTACTTCTCTGTAGAATCGAAATCACATCAGCTTCAAAGTGGCTTGAATAATCTGCTTGCATGGTTCTCTTTGAATATTCTAAACTAAATCTAAATAAATATAAGAAGCTTTCTTTCTCAGGAAGAAAGCCATTCATTACTCAGTATTTTATTGATGCGCATAAGTTGGAGGACGTCGATTTGTTCACAGATTTAGGCGTTCTATTTGACATTAAGTTACGTTTTAAATTACATATTGACCTCTCATTAAGTATTATTATTATTATTATTATTATTTTAATTTTAGACTAATGAATTGAATTCTTAGACTAAAAAAAGAGACATTGAGCACTAGCAACACAGGCTATCGGCTCTCTCATTAAGTAAAGCTAGCTCTGCGCTTGGTTTTATAAAATGGTGTTCCAAAGAGCTTGATGATTCTTACATTACAAAATGGCCGTACATGTGTTTGGTTAGACCTATACTCGAGTATGCCTCTGTTATGTGGTCTCCTTCCTATAGGCGCTATGTAGATTCAATTGGGTCTGCTCAAAATTAATCCTTGCTGTTTGCCCTCAGAAATTTGGGTTGGGACGCCATAGATTTGTTTTTGGGTTTCCTTCTTAATCATAGTAACAAATGGTACTATTGACTCGCTCGCAATAATTGGTGAAATAAGCTTTAATGTCGCTAAATGTAGACACTTTATCTTGATTAAACTTAGTCAACGTAAATGCAATTATAGGTTCTTTACTCCCCTCAGAGTTGTTTGCAGAAACTTAAATGACGTCTATCACTTATTCTTATTATCGAACCCTTTAAAGGCTATTAAAGCAACTTTGTTTAATACGCGCGATTTACCTATGTCGTACTTAAAGTAACATTACATTCTTAATGTCTCATATTTTTTATTTCAACATTTATATTGAATTGTTAACGTGTCGGTTGCCATGCTTATGGATGTTTGCAATGGTTGTAACGTTTCGGGAATTCAACCTATGCACGGATGTTTTTGTTTATTTTTACCATTTTTTTCCGCATGTTTTCCGGTCGGATGGGGGGTGTCCAAATAAAATGTATTCAGATACGTGATAGGTTCTTGCCTCGCTACAATATTTCATTATTTTAAATAAAACATGCTTACTATAAAATTTTGAAAACTTTTGACTAATTTAATCCACGCCCTGACCACATTGTTTCTACCTCGTCCCTCCGCCATCCACAGGAAATCATACCAGTTTTACCTTTTAATAAGAATACATTTCATTTCTTTCAATATTTCAATATATCAAAAACTTATAATGATTTAATTCAATATATCAAAACAAAATTTTCACTTTCAACAGTGGTTATTAATCAATTTTATAAGGAAAAGCATGATGATTTGATTCAATATTTCAATACAAAATTTTCACTTTGAACAATGGTTATTAATCAATTTTATAAAATAACTTACCAAAACTAACAACCACGTCGATGCGCATCGCCATAACTAAAAGGTTTATTAACAAATTATAGGTTTTAAAATTAACGCAAAAAAACAATGATTAATATTAAGGAAATATAACTCAAAAGAAATGTCAATTATTGTTTGCTTCATAGAGATACCACGCACAAACCGGTACGAAGAGCTCCTTTAACGTTATATTGGTTCTTTCGCGTTTTACACTCCTTCTAGTACATTAGCTTGTCGATTTTTTTTCCTTCTTTTTTCCTTTTTGCTTCGAGATTTTCTTCCCTTCTTATATGACACAGGTCTTAAAAATGTACGTAGACAATGTTGGTCGGGTTTCTGTTTTTTGTTTTTTTTTTTTATAAAAAAATTTAGAAAACTCTTATATTGTTTCCTTGTTTATCATAAATAGCCATCTTTTCTTTAATAGTAGCGATAGCACAGAATGTATTTTAATTTCTTTCCAATAAATTTACAAGCCAAAATTCTCACGAAATTATTTGTCTTGAAAAAGCGATGGCACAGAATGTATTTTTATTTCTTTCCAAAAACTTTACAAGCAAAACTCTCACGAAATTATTTGTCTTGACGTAGCGATAGCACAGAATATGTATTTTAATTTCTTTCCAAAAACTTTACAAGCAAAACTCTCACGAAATTATTTGTCTTGAAGTCGCTATGGCATAAAAAAATGTATTTTTTAATTTCTCCCCAACAAAAAAAAAATTACACGCCAAAAAAAAATCTCCGGCAAGCCATCTTTTTTCCCCAAAGTTGCCAAAGTTTGACTTTTCCTTTTTTCCCCCACTACAGTGTCTGTAACATGTTTTAGGAGTTCACTTGCAACCTGGATCCGTTCTTGTTGCGGATGTGCTCCTGTGCTAGCTGTGTACATGTTTTTTTTTCTTTTTATTTATTTATACATGAATTATTATTTTTAATTTTTTAACTTATTTTTAACTTACTTTGTTTTTAGTACCCTTACTTTTTCATCTTCCTTTTTATTGTACTAGTTTTTAAAACAATTAGTATGAGATTTACTCTTAAGATATGTTACATTCGACTGTAATTTTCTTTAGTTGGATTCCATGTATAATAAATAAAATAACGTTTTAAGCCTAGCTATTTCTGCGTCCGTTTCGATCAGACAACTTCGCCTTTGACGCAATTGCCCACCATGGTCTAACAAGATGTTACACAAAAACAAAATATTGCAAAAATAAGAAAAAAAATTTTTTCTAAAAATTTATGAAAAGTGGTTCCTCTTACGACTCTTCGCTTATTCTGCTGCGAGGCATAAAATTAATTACCTCAACCACCAATATTGCTGCAGATACCTTCAGTGGCTCTCAAACAGTTGTCGTAGATACTGGTTTTAGTAAAACGTCATTAAGTATCGATAAATTTGTTCAACCTGACGTGTGGTTTTTGGAAACCCTGGGAGACTCTACGTTTGATTTATACAAATACTTGAACAAATGTAAACAAATTCAGACGCTTATTCTCACATTTTTGTGAACATGACATGTTGAGTAATATTTACTTTTTGTGTGCTTATGAGATTTGTTCGGACTTCTTGAGAGAAAAATATAATATATAATCTTTTTTATATAAATGTATGAGCCGATAGCCTGTGTTGCTAGTGCTCAATGTCTCTTTTTTTAGTCTAAGAATTCAATTCATTAGTCTAAAATTAAAATAATAATAATAATAATAATATATAAATGTATAAAAAATATGCATTCATCTCCCCTTGTACGTCTCCTCAATAGTTTTATACAATTTTTATAGGCGTGGCATTCGATTTTACCCTATTTTCAAAAATAAAATGATAATTCTTTCCATATATTCATACAAGTGCTTGAAATATAATAAAAGTTTGATTATACGGATATAATTTTTTGCAATTTAGGGAAGTATAAGAAGTTCTTTACCAAATTAGCTTTTTGAGTGCGATTTTCTTTAAAGTCGTCGTTATTGACATCATCACCTTCAGCAGAACCTTCTTGTTTATCATTATTCTTTTCCGACAATAAACTTTCTCGATCGTGGTCATCATCGAAGCCGCACAGTTCAATTGTATCCAAACGTGACGTTGGGCCACAACTGAACCATTCGGGTTCTTCAGCCTGATTCTTAGATTGTTGCTCATGTCTTTGTTCTGCTTCTCGATCTTTCAAGCTAGATACAAATGAAAGTCCGGACACTACTGGTTTCACATAGTTTTTGGTGACAATATCATGTCTATCCTTAAAAGACGATTTCTCTTCGCTCTCATTTCCATCCGTTGATACTGGAAAATATGGGAAAAAGATTACAGTTTTAGGATACACAAATGACTTTAAAGATCGATTAACAATAAATGTACCCAAATCGCTATTTCGTATCTCAGCTGAATTGTGGTTATTATAATGTTGAGATGCCATATAAATATCAGACCACTTATTAGGTTGTAGACGTCCGCTACCAATGCGACGTTGGTTGCTTATAATAACAGGATCCTTAAATATGAAGCAGTATAAAAGACATTTATCTGCTTTAAATAAATATAGAGAAACTAAATTTTGCGATATCTACCTTAAACTCAAATGGCTGTGGAGGTTGACTTCTAATTATCGACTCATCCATAACCTTGCGTTTAAAGAACGCTGGCATCATGTCATTCCAACCCGATTTTCCGTTGTTATTATTCATATCAATAATACTTGCGCAGCCGTTTCCCCCGCTGTTTCTAAAGTCTGTCATGTAATCGGAACTTCTCCATATCTTAAGACGTTGCAGGCGTGCTTCTAATTCAATCACGCAACAGTCGATAATTATAAGCGAATGATTACCCCGTTTAACTTTGGCAGTAGTTATGTATTTGCCTATAAGCAATAGACTACCGCGAGAGTATTGTAATAACGAAGCGTTCATCAAGGATTTGATTTTCTCCAAATGCTTTCCATTATTATCTGTGGACGATGTGCTCGCCAACGCGACAGGCGGTGGCAAAGATGGAACTGATTTGTAAGTGGTCAGCGTATGTGTTTTGCCTTTCGAATTATATCGAGTTTCCTTGAAAGGTTGTTGCGTATTTTCTGCGAGGTTCTCCTTGACAGGGCTCACATGTTCAACAGATTTCTCCAAATCACAGCTAACCAAGGTATTATTTAAGAGTTGTCCACAAGGCGTTGACGAACGAGCCGATAGAGTTTGCAACGACAAGTTATCTTCTTCATTATGGTGCGGCCCCTTGGCTGAAAGGTATGTCATATGAGTAGGCGGATATAGCTGAGGTATATATATAGCTACAGATATAGCTGCCGGCTTTTCCATCATCTGCTTTTCGATCAATTGGAACTGTTTCTAAAGCTTACTCGATTGCGTCATCGCCAGGATCGACGGGGCGATCCACTCCAAGCGAGATGTTGATGTCCCCGGAATCAAGGAATGAAACATATGTCTCGATTCTCCTACACAACTTCCTGAAGGACTCCAGAAGAAAAGCTGCTGAGGCTGCAAGTCGCCGGCAGTCTGGCCCGAAACGGGCCCGACTGACCGAAGAGGACGACTTTACACCGGCCCAGGACGACTTCGTACCGGCCCATGCCTAGAGCTATGATGGTCCGTCTACGTCCGCCCAGGCTGCGAGTCGCCGGCAGTCGCATGGCCCGAAACGCGCCCGACTGACCGAAGAGGGCGACTTTGCACCGGCCCAGGACGACTTCGTACCGGCCCATGTCGAGAGCTGCGATAGTCCGCCTATGTCAACCCAGTCAAAATTCGCTGGGCTAACCGAAAAAGACAAAATAGTGCAGATCCATTTTGACGAGGTGTACACCCACCACGCGACGGTGTACTCTCGAGCAGATGACGAACTGCGGGGCTGCGACTATACGAGCAACCAAAAAAAAAAAACACTGGAACACCAGAGTGTGATAGTCTTCGCAGCACGAAGCCTCCTCATCCCTTTCAACATAGTGCTGAATAGCTATCCCCGCGTAAAAGCCCAAAAAAACATGGGATGGGCCTTAGAAGAAAGCATAAAAGCGGCTGAAGAGTTGGGGCTGGACGTGAGAGCAGTCGTCTGCGACCGAAATGCGGCAAATATACAATACACACCCAAATTTAACAACAACAAAATATACAATAGAAAGCGGGCAGACGGCAGCACACACTGCATCCGGCTTTTGCACGACTATTCGCATCTACTAGCAGCAATTCTTAATAAAATACAAACGAACAAAGACCATTATAATTTTAATGTAATCTCTACAGTGGCAAATATGCGACCGAAAAATTGTTCTCACTCCAATCAAAGAGGTTGGATGCCGGCCTATAGCGCGGCATGGGTGACGGCCCTTTCAATGCAGGTAATGAGCGACGCGCAAGTCGCAACGCTACAAGCGGCAATCGATAACGAGGAAGTAGACGATACCGACGGAAAAGCGCAAGCCGTCTGTGACTTAAGCGCGATATTTACGTCCTTCCTGAACATCTTCCATCGAAACATGATCAGCAGCGAAACTTGGCCAGAGAAAAAACAATGATTAGAGGACATAGAAGAATACTTACGGAGCAAATTTATTGGGGACCTCCTAGCTGCTGACATCCGCGCAACAATCAAGAACTTCAAAGCAATTATGGAAGAGCTGCTGGAGGCTTACCCTGACGAAACCATCGCGCCGTACAGGGTAAGCCAAGATCTGCTAGAAAGATTTTTCAGCAACATGGCAATCAGGAATAGCAACAGAAAGTGCCGATCATCCACAAATATAATGGCGCTGATCGCAAGACTAAGAAACGTACAGGAGGAGTGCTGGGCAGAAGCAGTCGAAAAGAAGGACGATTACCTCCTCATCGAAAAACTACTGTACGAGCTTGAAGCGCCGGCCATATTCGAAAATCTAATCGTTCAGCCGCTAAACCGCAATCTTGAAGAGTCCCTGAGGCTGCTCACAGGATGTGGTATAGCACGCTACATTCGTGAGCAGCTGCATTGCGAGGAATGTCTACAAGAGTTCACGCTGAACGAAGACGCCTTCTGCTATTTGAAACAAGGTCGCAAGGTTGCCAGAAATAAGCTGAATAGTCTGACGTGGGTTTTAAAATATTTGAAACCAGATTTACCAACAGAAGAAGTCAATGAAGCTTTCCAAAGAGCGTACGAAATTTTCTACGCGACAATGAAGCAGTACATGACGGCAAAAAAAATAGGCATGCGGCTACAAGCAACGATAATAGAACGAATTCCCTTTTTCCGAAGACCAGGATTATGCAGCAGAAGTGAGCTGCACCGGAGAAATGTGCTCGGGTTCCTGCTGATAACATTACTGTCCGGAGTAAATTTCAGAGAGAAAATGGACACAAAGATAACGTGGACCTAAGTTCCTCTGCGCGCCATCTCCACCCTCCTCGCAATACTCGTTGCGTTCCAATGGTAAGTTTGCATATGTCTTTACTGATTGTCATTTATAACTTAATTATTTATTTCAATTTAATTTCAGATTAACAATATATAATTAATATATTAATGCAGACATGCCTATCGCGTGGCTATGTTAAATCGTTTGCTCTATGCTCTGACATGTCGTACATCGTGCAAAATATAACACGCATTGCGGGCGATTGTCTTGCGTAATAATGATTCGATACTTGCAGGGCATATATTGCAAGCGTGCAAATTGTTTGAACGACAACAATGAGATTTGAAAAGTCCTATGCATCAGTTCTTGCATATCAATATCGAGAAAAAATAAGAAAACAGAGGTGTTAGCTTATACACACTTCGTGAAATAGATATCGCTAAAGGAGAATTGCCCATGTTCAATGTTGATGACACTTTGCAGCCCATAACGCGTACAGTGTTACGTATTAAAATCAATATATGGCCAGACTTTGTTTGGAATGATCGGGTACATGGTAAAACAAGTCAAAATTTTTGGTTATTGATTGAAGATCCCGAATTCAATTTTATCTATCATTCCGAATTGTTCCAGGTTTTTTTACCAATCCGCATTTACAATTCTATTACAAAAATAAACAATTTTTGTTTATGTGCTTTTTTCATGTTAAAATACACTTTTTAAGCCACGCGCAAATTTGTCTACAGCCAAAAACCACAAAAACTGTTGATGGCAATACTTCTCAAAGAGCCTTTACCGTCACAATATTATATATGAGTAGCGAGTGACACTTGGCTGGATACTAATGCGTGGACTCCATTAACTTTTAACTTTTAGTGCTACCGGATCACCATCCCCCTCTTGCCGAAACCTATAGCTGTAAGTGCTCTGAAAAATCTATGAATCTTTATATAATTTTACGCATTTCAATCCTATACAAATTCAAGTCTTTCATTGTCTTTATCAAGCTGATAATAACGCTTTGCTGGAGTCACCCACAAGTTCAGGTAAAACTATAGTGGCGGAAATCGCCATACAATAATAACAAAATAGCTAAGGTTGTTTATATTGCGCCTTTGAGAGAATTAGCGATTGGATTCTCAACTGATAGTTACCACACCAAAAAAATGGGATGGTATCAGCTGGTCTTGTTAGACAAGAGAATATGTACAGGACGTTGTACTAATTGTTATAAAAATACATTTTGTAATTGTATCATATACGCATTTCATTACGTCAACATAAGATGCTTTTGCCAACGCTCAAAATCTCGCCAATTGGCTGGATATTAAGGAAATGGGTTATATAATTTTAAACCTTCCGTCAGACCGGTTGCTTTGCAAGTGCATATAATTGGATTTTCCGGTAATTAAACCGATTTTCATAACATTTCTGACTCTTCTTTAATGATTTATTTGCAGGCAAACATTAGTGTCCACGGATGGCCACTATAAATCGGCCGACATTCCAAACAATACGCTCTTATCCGCCAACGGGACCCACCATAGTTTTTGTTTCATCCCGCCGTCAAACTCGATGAACCGCTTTCGATCTGATTACTTAGAGACAAATGAGATAACAATAGAAAAAATGTGTTGCTCTAATATACTTCTTCTTTACTCCTTTGCCAGATACTGGATTATTTACGCTTACGCTTGTGGTAAACAGTATGGAAAAATTTTCAATACAAAATTTTATAGAGAAAGCTAAGAACAGAAAGCTATTTGCACTTATTTCTGTAGTTTCGTTGTGTTCCTTTCTATTTAAATTTTCCATTTTACTTCTTTTTATTTCATTTTTATTTATTTTCCAAATGTCCTTATTAGCACCACTGTCTCTTTTATATATAGCCACTCGCCAAAATCAAAATTATACGATACCGGCCATGTCAATTGGGAAACTATCGTTGATAAAGGCGTTAACGTTTGCTGCCAATTCATGCCTTCCCCGATTTTAACATTGTCAGCAAATAAAGTTGAAGCGGTAAGCAAGCCTTTGGAATTTAACACGTTGGGATCCTGTGCATTTAGGTTAAAATTTTACGCATACGTTTATTGCTGTTACGTTTAATAGCTTCTTTTGTTGATCTCTTTCTACCATCGCTTAGTCCGAAATCTCGAAGTAAGTCTGGTGAATTGGCATCGAATCAAGCCGGTAGCAATTCCACTCCATGCGGCAATAAAGATACGGAACTGATTGAGTTTCTAAGCAAACAATGGCTGGAATTGTTTAATCGTTTGCGCAACGAAAATTTGAAACCTTTACCGAATCGTTTTCTAGTCAATTTTTTGCGGTAATATTATCGCCGCAAGCGATGAATCTTTCGAAGATGGCCTATGGCGTAGACGTGAATGGCAAAGCAAGATAGCAGCAAGATTGGAAGTACATGTTTATATATATAAAAAAAAATGAAAAAAAAAAAAACTGTTTAATTATTTCCAGATACTCTCGCTGTACGCTTTCATACTGACAGCGCTTTACGAAAAGCTACAGACTTCGAGTAAAATTAAACCGAAAAAAAATTTTTTTTTCTCATCTGCTTCTTTCATTCCATTAAATATTGTTTTTTTTTGTTCCTTTGTTTATTTATTTAAATAAAAATGTTCAAATGAAGAAAAAAACGTTAAAAAAAAAAATCTTTAAATAAAGAACTTTTTTTTTATATAAAGAGCCAAGAAAAAATGCGTTTTAAATGTTTTTTTCTAGAAAAAAATTTTAATCAAACTTGTGTTTTTTATCTATAATTCGCTATAACTGATTTATTGATAAATATGAGAACTAAAGTATAGGAAATACCGGAAAAAGTCTTAGAAAAACTAACAAACGCTTCTTTGCAAACTGATATTTTTATCTCGAACCCGAATCCTTATGAAAAGTAATCCCCATGCCACAACTCGAAAAGAGTCAAAAAAAAAACAATTTTTTTCTTTAATTTATTCAAGTTTTGGAAAATCATCCACTTACCTAAAAAAGTGTGGGCCGATACGAAGATGAAATTGTGTCCTCAGTGGATTCCCGGCCTTATGCGCGAACAACAATAACCAATTTTGACAATATGACAAGCTCTCAAAAATTTACATCCTGCCATGAATTGTTGTCACAGTCTGTTGCTGAGTTTTCGACAAGTGGATATGAATTTCATCTCTCTGACGAAGAGTTAATCGAATGCTGCACTAAAGCGGAGGATGCAATGAAAGAAGTAAAAAATGTAGAGGCTCCCGAAGAACAAGAAACAATTGTGGATGTAGTATTTGAGGACTCTCCAGAAGGATGAGATGACAACAAAAAGAAAACAATTGCGGAGATAATATTTGAGGACTTTTCTACATCTCCTTTTAATAGTCCTGTAGTATCACCCGAGAGTAAATTAAGAAATTTGGAACGGTCCCCTTTATATATTTTACGCGAAAAACCAAAGAAAACCTACAGTCGCGAATTTAGAGAAAAAGCAAAATTGGCTCTTTTGTACGATTCTACGCCAGAAAGTAAGTAGCTCTTTATAAGCTTTTTTTAAAAACTCTAACTTTCTAAATTCATTTTAGGAGAAGATTCAGACCGTGGTTATATCGATAAAGAAGACACATACAACGTAAATGAAAGTAAGTTGTTTTTAAAATCCGCGATGAGACAATATTTAAATTATTCCAAAATTTTTTAGATCTAGTACCATTTAATCAGTATAAAAGCAACAATTACGATTGGGATGACGATGATGATGACATTTTTGCTTTCATAAGCACTCAGAAAATCCTACGTCAAGATGTGAAGGTCAATAATGTTACATCAGGACTTCAAAAAGTTAGCGGAGAACGGTCGGAGTTGGGAGAAGGCAAAAATGAAGTTTCTGCTGGTTTTCAAACAGCGAATGGTAAAACAATCTCCGTATCGGAAGAGAGCAAAAGATCCGCACAAAATATTTTAAGAGAATTTCAAGACAATTTGCAAGAAACGAATTATGAAACTGAACTAAAAGACATAAAAGCTCGAATGTCGATATAAAGCTATAAAGGCTGTAGCTGTAACTAAAAATAATGTAATTACTCCTACCAGTCATGTAGGGGTAAATAAATATAATCCATAGTAAATACCTCGTCCAATATGAAGACAAATACAAATAAAAAAAGATGAAGCTCCATTCGCATGTAGAGTTCGCAATAACCATTCTTTTTTAACATCTCGAGAAGTATGGTTTACACTGTTAAATACTAAATTAATATCGGCAGTATAACGCATTGCAAAAACTAAACCTGTTAAAGTTTGAATCTAAATAATGAACCAAAGTTTAATGAAGAAGAAATATTAATAGGAGCAAATAAATTATTAACGGTCGAGAATAAGGAATTTGTATTAATTTACTAATTGGTTAAATATAGGTCGTAATGGACCTTTTGAAAGTTTAGTAATTTTTACTACAGTAATTAAAGTAATTAATAAACAATTTAATGGAATTGTAAGAAAGGGCAATTATAAAGTTTATTAATTGATAAAGAATTTTCTAATGTAAAACATCAAAAGTTTCATGTTAATTTATTTTGATACAGTTATTAATTGAAGTATATTAGCATCAACAATTCAGTTCAAAATTATTGTAATTATAAATAGTATCAGTGAAAATAGTAATAATTTTACTGAAAATGAAAATACTTCATTACAGGCTAATGATATTACATAAATAAATAAAACAAGTATTCTCCCTAAAAATACTAAAAATAAGATATCTTAAAGTCAACAAGTTTTTGATATTAAACCTGTCTTGTGCGCGCTACGTGGTGAGTTCCGCATATATATCCGCAAAGGTTCCTTACATTCGTTAGAATTTTCATAACTAATTTATGGTCCTAAGTATATGGAGAGGGCATATTTGTGGCGATGTTGGCAGTTATGAAGGAATTTAGTCATAAAGTTAGATTTTTCTGAGAGGTTTTAGCGTCCTTTACAACATATCAAAACAATGCACTTCAATAAATTTGTTAACATTTTTTTTGTAACACACTTTCTATTGTGCGAGTTTTCGCCAATAGTATACACATACTATACAGTATATGATAGCAATATATTTCTTTTTTAATTTTTTATAATATCAAGTGTTTATGTTTATATTTTCCATTTTTGTCTAATTTCTCTCATCCCTTTGTTACTCTTTCGGTACTATTTACTTATCAATTACATTAGGAGAGGCGCGAACCAAGTGAAGAGAGCCCATCTTTCCGCAAAGCAAAAATGCGGGCTACGTGATGTTATGCTACGTATTTTCGTCAAGTTTTTGCTAGCAAATACTTTATCGTTTTTTTAAAAGCTAAATCCCTTCTTGCCGAAAGTTAACCATCTTTAGCGAAAAAGAGGTAAACTTTAAAAATTATTTACTAACGTTTTACATTGGCAATCATACACGAGTACCTGCAAACATTTTTTTTAAGTTACGACATGAAACGGATCCAATTGCTTCAAGCGTACTGTATATACATAAAGTAGGTGTATTTAATCTTAGCTAAACTTATGAATTTACCAAATTTTTCTTTTGTTTTCGCACGTCGCTAAATATGAGATATAGAATAGAAAGACCTGTTGCTTCAGCTACCAACATGTTTATTCTCTTTATTCTTTCTAGGTTTCGGAATTTCTTTATTGGTTATATACAAGCGACTGAAACTGCTTTATGGTGGTATATATTGAACCGACAAGCAAAAGTCAATTAAGATGAATGAATTTTACTCTATTTATCAATAAAAAAAATAAATTCCGTATACCATTGTATGAAAGTTTACACTATTGCTTGCGTAACTTTTTTGACGATTAACTTAGGTCTCTTTAAACTGACACAAAAAAAAAAAAAAAGCAGCAAGAAGAGAGATCATGAATTTTATGTCTCTATTTTTATTTTCACATAAAATTACTCTTTCACATGTGTATGAAAAAAAATTTAATGCGTATTCTTTCCTTCTGGCCTTTTTTTGGGTCAATCAATTAAATTTCACACAAGGCTGTTTTGACTTTTCGCATAAGAAATTAAATGTTTTCAAATTGTTTTCATTGCAATCTTTTTTTTTTTTTTTGTTTGTATTTGATATGGATTGGACCTTTTAACCTAAATTTAGATCCATAATCCAGTAACTAAATAGAAATCCATTGCTGATATTCATAATTTCACGTGATGATGAAATATTGATGCTTTTTTACTAAGATTTTTTTAATTTTTTGCTTTCTAGGTTATGTTTGACTCTTTTCTTTATTTTAATTGAGTAACACGCTGAAGTTGGTTGTACACACCCCAACGACAGCATGAAGACTGATTCATTGCAATCTTTGTTGTTTTTAGATATATCAGTTAGATGAGAAATTCATTTCGTTAACAGTTTCAATAAATAAAACTAATTCAGTCACAAGGCCTTTATTACAAAAAGAAAGTTTTTGCAATCATTATTTCGTTTTTCTCTATCAACGTTTTGTTGCTTCTTATTCCACACTACCATACGCATATTGTCCTTCTTTTCCAAGCTTATGTGCAAAACGAGACGCCAGTTCTTTTTCATTATTCAATCTTTTCTTTTCTTTTTAATTTTCTTTTTTTTTAGTTTTTTGGCCAAAAATTTGGTCATATTCACTCTACCTGCCCACATCGATCAATCCCCCATTTTTCTTTTTTCTGCTCTTTTTGATCGTCCATGAGGACAAACAACCCCTGTTACGCAGAGTTGTATTTCTAGCAAATCATTTTACACACCCACATGTTACAAAGTTTATATAAAAATTTTTATTTTGCATATAGGTCAGCTTTGAACTGTTGCTCTTATGTTGCTTGCGCGAGTGGTAAATTTCATTTCCATTAAATTATAGTGTGGTCACGGCACACAAACAATCGCTGGCCTACAGACGTAAATAACTCGTGAGGAGCAAAAGACACTTGTTGGCGCATAAAACTTTAGGACACCTTACGATTCGCAAGGCAAATAAGTTTTACTTACGCGGGAATAAAAAATATTAAAAAAATAAGTGTGTGACAAAAGATATTGTGTGTGTGCACCAATTATATTTTGACCTTCCAAACTTAAATTTAACGTGGTAAGCGTTATTTAATGACAGTAAGGCATATATCGCTATATGACATGATTAATATACTGAAGGTTTAACAAGGAAGTTATATTGTTATTTTTCATACCCATCACGGTATTCCTAAAAAAGAATAAGGAAAAAGCGAAAAAACTAAATTTTTACGTTTCATACTATTGTGCGGGCGCGGCTGTTTTTTTTTTTTGCAGAATAAAAGTGGAAATTTGCAAGGTGCAAGTGTTATACTCTCTGAGTAACAAGCAAAAAACACGAAAAACGAAGTTGTTGACAGTATTTGTTGCAGTGCCATGTATGGGGGTGACTTTTGACCGGTTTGACTCATTTTTACAAACTTGTAGTCGATATCTTTATTTTTGCGGACAGATACTGCACAGTTGGGCTGACGGTCATATGGATGGCCGAATAGACTGACATGTTTCGATGCGTTGCGAATTTAAACCTGCAAAGAATTTATATGCTTAACCGGCTTTTTGATGCTTGCTTTTGCGCGTTTTAAAGTTGGTGGAAAAAAAATTAAGTTTTAGTTGGATTAATGTTGGACAGACGAGGACCATTTTCCCTATTTTTATGCAGATACCATTGCATCTATATTCTTGAAAATTTATCTGATGTGGTTTATGACTAATGAGCGAAAAATCAATTTTCCGTTGTTTTTGCAAAACAGAGGTGTACTCAGTTGACATAGTACCTTGGGCATATTCTTCAACCGATTTAGCCCATTTTCAATACCAACCAGGGTGCAAGAACCCCCAATGTTTCTGCCAAGTTTGAATAGCTTCATTTTTGCGGCCAAGAGAATGTTTTCAACCGACATTACACAGACATATACGAGGACAAATATCCTTGGGCAAACGAACCTGCTTGGATTGATCCAGAATTTGATTCTGACCAAATATATATATATACTTTATACTTATATCTCTCAAGCTTTCTTCGTTTATGAAGACCTTGCAAACGTCTTGGTAGTGGTGGATACAATTTGAGCGTGAAGATAAGCTAATAAACAATTGAATGTGAACATAAATTTGTCCTAAAAGCTAAAATTGATTGTTTCATAAAACGGACTTAACGCGTTCAATTTTCCTGAAATTTCAAGTATAGATAACTTACACACTGGAGTTTGAACAGCGTAAGTTTCAACTGTTTACAAGATGTCGGTCAGTGTTTATCAAAGTTTAAAGAGATAGATGTCTTTTACTCAATTTATCTGAAAAAAAACGCAATTAAAACTACGATTGTAAACAAATTTCCTAAAATGCTGCAAGCAAACAAGAACGTGCAGATGCCTATTCTTCTCAACGCTATAAAAAGAATACTAAACTGCATTAATATTTAGCAAAACGATTCAGCATTAAGTATCACTTTTTTCACTCTCTTTCATTTTTTTTTGAATATTAATATGAAAAATCTGATTAGACGACAAGAAATGAAAATTATTATTTAACGACAATTAATGCTGTCTGATTATGGTCTACAGACGGAGCATTGCGATTGGCGTTTTATTTTTGGTATTATCTGGCCTCCTCTCAGCTTTAATATTCCGTTTAAGTTTGGGTAAGTAATTAAGCTAAGGCAACTTTGTGAAAATGATAAGATAGATTCGATGCAGAGAAAAAAAGTTATATGTTTTAAATTTGAATGCCACATATATCACAATAAGTACTAAACAAGTAGACGTCGTCCCTTGTGCGAGCATTTATATTCATTTATATATATTCTACATAACATTTATTTATATTCTACGTATACTCTGATATTGCGAAAAATGGAGGTATGTACGTTATAAGATTATCCTTTACATTTTTGCGATGGTAAAAGAGAAAGAAAAAACTTTAACTTAAAAAAATTTTTTTTAAATTGTATTAAAACCACAAGATAACTATATGACAATTGTTTTAATTATATTAAAACGATATGATAATTACATTGCGAGGTTGGGATGCGGTGACATTGTTGACGCACTTTTATTCGAGGAACACAAGTCAATTTAATTGATATGGAACGACAAACAAAGCTTGATTTCAAAACATAAGTGCATTCTCTTTTGTACTGGTGCGTGAGATTTTGCCATTTGGTCTTTAAAAAAGCTCCCTCCAACACGCCGGTCAACGAGCGCCGCCACTGACACATATTTATCATCTCTAACAAAAAAAAGAGAGCTATCAAAACTTCACGCGTTTACCATTATTTTGCAAGAACGGCTTTTCGGATGTTTGATAGACAACACCTACAAACTTCTATTATGCTGAACGCAGTTCGAACCTCATTTCAAGCAAATGCTCAGGATATTTTGTATGTATCTTTTTAAGGTACTCACTGCTAGGTGACAAATATGTGTCAATGGCGGCGTTCATTGACCGACGTGTTGGAGGGAGCTTTTTTAAAGACCAAATGACAAAATCTCATGCACCAGTACAAAACAGAATGTACTCATGTTTTGAATTCAAGCTTTGTTTCTCGTTCCATGTCAATTAAATTGGCTTGTGTTCGTCGAATAAAAGTGCGTCAACAATGTTTCCGCATCCTAAACCTCTCAATGTTGTTATCGTATCATTTTAATGTAATTAAAACAATATTTAAGTTAAAATTTCACCTTTCTTTTTTGCCATCACAGAAATTTAAATGATAATCTTATAACATACATACATCCGAAAGCATTCTACGGCTTGCACAACATCAGAGATATGTAAGTAATAGACATATGAACCATCGTTACATTATAACTAGTATTCGTAGCACTTATAAACCATAAAAGAAGAAACAATAGATTAATCTCTAAACAAACTGACAGGCGGACAGACAGGTGGACAGACATGCTAACATCGATTCAGAATTTGATGGTTCTCAAGAAGATAGACGGGCAAAGAGATGTATTTAAATCGACTCGGAATTTGATACCTGTCGAAAGTGTATATACTTTAAAGAATCCATAAAGCTCGCCTCTGCATGCGGCAACCTGCCTGCTATGGTGGTTATAAAGAAATAAACAAATACATAATATAAGACATAGGAACTGTATTCGACTGTCGTCGAGTTTTTTAACATTGTAATAAAAAAATCGATTTTTTTCAGTAAGAAGATATGTAAGATTCGATTCTAAATCAAAGAAAATACCTGGATCGAGCTTATGATGGGATCTGAAGAATGCGGTTTTTAATTTTACTAGTTATATACATATATCTTCGAAAATGATAATTAGTTTACATCGCGTAAAGATTAACGTCTCTGTGTTAATATGGAATTTTTAAAAAATATTTAATCTCAACCTGAGCTGAGGCAGTTATTGAGTTCTACTAATGTTGTACAGCACCAGAGCATTAATTCAGTTATAGCTGGTAAAATTCGATTTCTGCGCATCATAGGAGCTCCGCCAACTGAAAGTCATGCACGGCAATAGACTAGAAGTCTGTGCCTTGCATGCAAATTAGGCTTCTCTATAAACTAGTTTGTTTCCACGGCATCATGACAGGCCGGCTTTGATCTCCTGCAGACCATTCAGAATCCTTGTTACCGCTTTAAAACTAGTATCAGATTAGGAATTAAATTACGGCAGACGATAAGAATAAAATAAAGGGTATTTACTTCTTGAAATAATGCCGATTGTACTTTACTATAAGGCAGCATGCCCGCCGCGACATTGCGTGTTTCCCACAATTTTTTCGCACATAATTCAGCGTATTCCGCGTACATAATCATAAAGCCGTGCGGACTTGGGCGAGTTATTCTTGAAAATGCATTCTTGTCTGAAAATTTACTAACAGCCCCAACAAAGTCACGACAAATATATAATCCATCTGATGCAATGCACAAATAAAATAATTACTATAGAAGAATTATTACCATGTGCAAATATGCACATCTCTATTAACCTATTAAGAGAATATTCTCATTGGCCGCATCAAATAATCCCACAATGAACACTTTAAATGCCCTGTGAAACACTAATAATAATTATTTATTACAGTCTCTGAACTTTTTGTGTGGAATTTAAACAAAAATTACGAGTAAAAAAATAAATAAAGCAATGCCCGACAGTTTAGGTCAACGTATTTTCAACTTAATCTTCACTAATGCCTTTATTGAAGAAATTAACGAAATGGCACGTTTTCACGTTTAAAGCGCGTCGAAGAGGGTTTATATGAAATGCATTTAAATAACCCTCGCACATACAAATGTGTATTAAAAGTGAATCGGATTGCCATGCTATTTAAAAAAGTAAAAATATAAATAGAAGCGATTTCACATAAAAGTGGGTATAGGGGCCAAATGATACGGACATACTGGATGAATCTTTAGGTTATATAGGCGGGTATATCATTTCATATGTTAGTAGGCTGCTCTCGCGTATTTTCACCCGCCTAGTAAAATTCTTATGATGGTGTTTGAAGGGAAAAATCTGCTAACACAGGTCAGATTAGGTCGAATTTTGTGATACTTATGTCGTAATCGTTTTTCTTAAAAATTTTATAAGCAAAAAAAAAATTTTGCTTATACACAAGCATCCGCCGTTTAATATGGGTAATTCGCCCCCTACTGTCTGGAAATTTTATTATACGAAACTTTTTCTTTTAAACTAAGACACATAATAGTAAATATAAAATAAAATATTATTTAAGGTTAGAAAGAATATAAATGAAAAACAGTTGTACAGTGTACAAGGTATCTTACAACGTGTACCGTACCGTATGGAAACCAAATCTTAAAGTGCAACATTTTATGATGAAAATTTTATTATGAAATTACTTTTCAAATATATATATATAAATGAATGAGTGGTATAACTTCAAGCGTTTATAAAAAAAAAAGGAATAAAAAAGAAAATGAGATTCAACATTGCTGTACAATGTACGCAAATATATATTCGAAAAGTAATGACGATCACAAAATTAATTCTCATCAAAAGTTATAGTTAATCTATGTTTTGCCTACTCAAAACTCAATTTTTTGAAATCGGGTTGTATCGAGACGCTATAAATCTCTGATATGCGCAAATCTTGTACCGTTTTATGTTGAATTGTGGAATTGCTAAATGGGCGACACTTGTGTATATTTCTGTGTACGTTTTACAGGCGTCCACATGGTCACATGTGTTTAGATTTCATAAGAAAAGCAAAACGGGAAAGGAGTTATATTGAACTTGATTTGAATTTTGTAATGTGCACCATTTAATGTGCTTGTGAAATATGTGAGTAAATATCCACTCTGTCGAATTTATCATTTTGCCTATCTATAAAAACTAAAATTTTAATTTTTAGATTTTAAAATTGTTCTAAATAAAGCTCGGTTATAAACACATATTCAACATTAACTTTGATTAAATTACTAAACAACTGGAATCATTTTGTACTTTTATTCTTGACTGCATGTAAATATTTTATTGAGAAGAAGCTTTTTTAAGTTGCTGTATGACGCAATTTTACAATTTCGTATTCGTTTTTTATAATTATTTTATTTGCAGACGTTTAGTTGGCAATCCCCTGAAATATTTATCCTCTCATACTTTTCTAAGTAATCAATATTTGGAAGCTTTGTACGTTTCTCTTTTAATAAATACCATGTTCATTTAAGCATTATTGCTCCTTCTGCAGATCTCTTGGTTACACCCCATTACAAATCCATAGTTCGTTGCTACGACATTTGAATGTTTCCTATTTAAATCTAACGGGCATTCCATTCGGGTCTATCGACTTCGAAAGTATTAATGTTATGACAAATTTGAAGTACATTATATACGATCGCTTCTATTACTGTTCAATGACACCATACGTCCGGATGTGCAGGCCAATCAGTGACGGCTTATCAACATTTCATGATTTACTTAGTAAACCCGTCTTGCGCTATTCCGTATGGATTATGGCGTTTATTACAATAACGGGTAATATTATGGTGCTGTGGGGTCGTTTCACTTATCGGGATGAAAATGTTGCTGTAGCGATGGTCATACGAAATCTAGCTTTCGCCGATTTGTTGATGGGTTTCTATTTGCTAACCATTGGCATATTGGATTACAGTTATCGTGATGAATATCACAGGTAAGCGTAAAAATAAGTAATTAGTGCCCATTTCTGGGAATGCATTGCAAATATTATGTCTCACTATTTTTAGAGTGGCTCTGGATTGGATAACTTCCTGGCAATGTGTGGCTGTGGGCATTTTAGCTGTTAGCTCTTCTGAGGTTTCCTTGCTTATATTGGCCTTTATGTCTTTGGAACGTTTCTTATTAATCGCTGATCCCTTCAGAAGTCATCATCGTATAAGTTCTAAAACAATTCTTATAACTCTTATAATTATTTGGATAATGGGCATAGTTTTGGCGGTAGCGCCAGTAATACTGTGGCAATCAAGCACGAAATATTACGGCACTTACTCAGGCATTTGTTTTCCTTTACACATTCAAGAACCTTATCCGTTGGGCTGGCAATATTCAGCATTTCTTTTTCTGGGTATCAATCTTTCTTTACTCCTAATAATCACACTGCTCTATATAGCACTCTTAGTGTCTATATGGCGAACCAGAAAGGCGACGCCGTTAGCATTACTGGAGTACGAGTTGGCAGTGAAATTTTTTTTTTATCGTACTTGCGGATATTTTATGTTGGGCGCCTATCATAGCGATGAAAATATGGGTGTTTTTCAATTACAATATATCAAGTAAGTGACATCTATTTCGAAAAGACATACTCTCTAATAAGCGGATTCTCGCAATTTAGATGATATCTATGCCTGGCTGGTGGTTTTCGTGTTGCCTTTAAATTCAGCTATTAACCCTTTGCTTTATACCTTTACAACACCAAAATACCGTAATCAAATATTGTCGCATAACTGGAAGAATATTATATCGCGGCGTCGCGAAAAATCATCGAGAGATACTAACACTGCAACGGGGTCATCTAATCTGGGTAGTGTGCAAAAATTTACTTAAGAAAGAGAGGAAAATGTGTTCTTTAATAGAATCTTATACACTTTTTGAAGCAAAACCGTGTCCTGCGGCAGCTTTGAAATAATTGATAAGACATCCCTCAAGTGTGAAGCAATACTCAATCAACCTTTAGTAAGCACGTCAAAAAAATATACATAATTCTAAAAATATTTTTTCATGTTATATAAGAAGACATTTGGTATACGCTTCCAAAACGGTGTTAAATATGTTTTATATGAAGATGTGATAAGGTAGACTTCAGTTTCTTTGCTACAAATTATATTCTCCTTTTTAGTATTCCAACCCCAGCAATTTTTTTTTTTTTGCGACAATTTCCACACTACAATGTTAAGATGCCTATAAGATGGCGATAAAGTTTGAAAAAATTCGTCCCGGACCTTAAAACATAGCAAGAAGAAATGCGCAATAAGAATCTAATGTTGGAGAACATGAGCTTCGCCAGAAAATTAATCAATAAAAGGATAAAATTCAGCATTTTAATTGGATTAAATTCAACTCGTTAATATAAATTTATTAGTAATTTTTGTTGGTTTAACCTTAACATTTTAAAAGAAGATTGAACTAAATTAGACTTAATTAATTAATAAAACGTTTCGACATCCTAATAATGGTCAAAATATGTAACCTTGTACATTATATTAAAACTTTGGTGCAGGGCTATAGCAAAGATTTTCGCCACTGAATTATATTAACATTTTTTTCACGTTAAATACACACCTCTAATATGTTTTATTTGGAATTAGTCACGTCACAGACATTAGATGTACATATCCATGGAAAAACAAAAAAAAATGTTATTCAAATGTCTTCTTTGGAGGTTTTATAAAAATAAAATAAACTAAATAAAATAAAATACTTTACCTCAAATATAAAAAAGGCATAGCGCGAAATCTAGCTTGTAGCTTGAACTTTGCGATATTTCGAAAAAATTCAAATTTATGCTCGCGCAAAGGAAGAAAATATAAATATATTTAAACTTAAGCTAATGAGATTATTCATATTAAGTTGTAAAACAGCTTGTGTACAATAGTTTAAAACGTTCGACCAGTGGTTCAATAAAATTCGCTGCATTGTTAATTTTCGTGCTGTCCATTTCCACCAATTTTTCCGCAATGCGTAGCATTTACGAATCTTTGACCCAATTATCTTGAATGATTTCTTCAATCGAAAGTCTACGTACAGCAGCAACTACCAGAAGTGTTTTAATTAACGAAGTAACGGGGAACAGGAATCAACAATATGCGCTTTTCCTTGTTTAATTTGTTCTGTAACTGAGGCAACGTCTACGCTACGATAACTTTCGAATCCCATTATTTTTAAGAAAGATACATTTACTGAAATTGGAAATGTCTTACTTTATTTCTGAAACTTACCAAGTGAACAGTACCACCTCTAGGCTAAAGACGTCAACTTTCTTACTATAAGTTTCATAGCCTCTACTAAGTAATATCTTCGGCGCTATATACGCTAACGTTCCACATAAAGTGTTCGTAATTGAATCATTTTGTGCAAATTTATTTAAACCGAAATCACATACTTTTACTAAGATGTCTTCGTCAAGAGTAGCAATCAAGATATTATCTGGTGTAAATCATGTTGGCTGATATGGTTTGTTATTATAAATTGCAAATCTGGAAAAATACAGTTTTCAGATATTCTCAGAATGACGATTGTTACTTTTAATATGTTCGCATAAATATCCGCTTTTCATATATTCATATTCATATATGAAAACACTATTTTCAATATTTTTTTGTGGAGAAATGCTTTTCGATGTAGTTTTCCTTTTCCTTATAATATTGTTACGGAAATTCCAAATCTAGTTGATTCCAGCTAAGTCATTTTCCGAAATAATAAGTTCCTTAAAGAGAAAAGAAACCAAATGCACATTCGCGAGGCGTCATGCAGCTGCAGGCCAAAAGCCAGGTTAACGAATTAAAACTCAAGTCATAAAATTAAGTACTAGTAATGTGATGGTAAAAATGTATATAAATAGAATATTTGTGAAAGACAAAGTATTAGAGTATATAGAATATTTGAGTTAAGCAGTCGAAAGTATTGTCAAAAATAAATTGTAAATAATTCTACATTTAAAGAAATATAATTGTAAATAAAAAGAACTTCGATGTGTATTTCTCTTGAGCAAAATATCCACGGTCCAATGATACGGACTGTATCTTAGAAAAGCGAATTTCATAACAGTATATATATATATAAGTTTTGCTGCAAAATCATTACCTTTTAGCGGGTGTATGAAAACGAATTTTAAAAAATATACAATTCTCTTTTCAACCCAGTCCATTAACAATAATAACAAATCACGACAAACACGGATAAAACACAAGCGTATATACTACCACATCTGGTTTTGTCACGTAATCAAGCCGCCAAACGTTTCTTGCCACATGTTTGGCGCCAATTTTATTATTTTGCAATGTAAGTTTTTTTAATTAACTTGACTAACTGTTTTAGACGATAAAAACTCTTAAAGTGTCTGAATGGGACGGCATACTGTCTTGGGAAAACCTAAGGGCAGACCAAGGGTCGTCAAACGGAAATCACTTGGAATTATCGAGAGATGTCATTGATAAGGTAGCTACATCGGGAGTGACGGTGAAGGGGGGTTTATCACGTTCGTCGCACACTCCAGACCCATACAATTAGAAACAAAATAAAACAAAAACATACATGTATCTTTTTCACACTATCCTTTTTCACATTATTCGCTAATATGCAGTCAATTTTAGATTAAATTAAACAAAAAAAAAACAAGATTATTTATCTGATAGAGCATTGTGTTTTAATTTTTGCAGCCTTTTTACTTGTTTTCAAGTTTGCTTTTATTTACTGCAGTAGTAGTATAATTTTATATTTAACGTAGGCGAATACTCAAAGAACTCTCCGTCTACTTCTTGTTTGACAAAGTAAATTTTACACTCTCCATACATTGGTAAGCAGCATTCTAATACTGGCAACATTGTAATATTTTCAGCGTGGGAACGTTGATAAGATCCAATAAAATCGATATTTAGCCCTTAGAAGAGTCGAATGGTAATATCTATTTTACCTTACGAGAAGCAAAAAAAGTGCTTAAGACACTTACTATTTTCAGGGTTAAACGTTACTGTATCCGCATCGCTTTACTTATATATCATCTATTGCATCTTGTTCTGGCGTTGCGATCAGTCACTAACCATAACAGGAAACGAACTATATTTTCGTTATAGTTGTTTCCATTTTGTATCAATTATTACATTCAGAAGAAATAGTCGTCAGAAAAGATTCCAAAATCAGTTTTATTTTATAATAAAGTCGTTAAATATCTAAAACCATGCAGAAAAAAATAGGTCGTGACTTGTGATGTCTCTGTGATATTGCTCGGAATGTGGCTAAGTATTTTAATACCTGAAATGTTACCTGGATTTTTCCTAAAAGTTTTTTGAAGTTTACATATTGATTAAAACTTGTATTGTGTATGTATTTTTTATCGATACCAAGTTTTGGATCGATTAAGTTTTTCTTTCCCTCTGTTTGTCTGCTAAAAAGCACAATTTTTTGTTCTTGTTGAGTTGGGGTTACCGCCGAAATTATTATAAAAACAAGTAAAAATATTATGGTCGGGCAATACTAACCATTAAATATTCTACGTTGCTTCGCCTAATGCCATTATTCATTCATTTTGTGATTTTTGAAATAAACACTATACAAATATATGCTTTTCCTGAAAGCCCTTATACGGGAGGGTGCCCAAAACTTTAATTGACATGATCCAAGTTTGGTAAGCTTAATTTACTTTAACTTAAGGGCTTTATTATTTTTTATCTGTCTTTGTCATAAAAAAACTACAAACTAGGCTTTGTCGTCATATACTTTGTCAGGAGAGCCCTTTTACGACATGGTGTTCAAAAGAGAGGCCCACGTTCAATCTAACCAAATTTTTATGTCAAATTGGGTACATATTTTTATCATCCAATATTGACAATGGGATAATTTTGCCATACAAAAGCCTATTCTGTCGTCTTTATGAGGCGGGATCCAACAAATATGGTCAGTTTTCATAGGAACGATGATATGCAAAGGAAGATAAATTTCCCCAGCCGATCGAAATTTTCTCATGAATTTAGAATGCTTATATGCTATCATTGAGCATCTTTTGTTGAGAAACTTACTTGACAGTAGCTCAACTGCTTTGCGATATAAGGAGCTATACGCGGAATGGTTAAAACGATACTCCCACTCAATCCGGTTTCAACGCAATTCGCTCTTGAGTCAAAACACTTTAGTATACGATATTGTCAAAATGTCCCAAATCTATATCTATCTATCTATAAGTTGGACAAGAGACTTCATGGACGCACATGAGACCAATCGAAAAGCTTTTATCAACTCAGAAAATAGTTCCGAGTCAATTGTTATAATAAAAGCCAACCTTCTTTTAAGTCTTTCTTTATGCTACATACATCAGTACAACTTAATATCATTTGTTCCAAGAAGTACAATTAAAGAGTTGCAAAAAGGGTGTGCATAAGAAAAAAAGCTAACTCTTCTATTATTCTCACGAACTCAAACAAGCAAATTATTGCTACTATCCATCAAACAACGTGCGTGTATACTTACAGTGTGTGCTTCGTGCTCCCCAGTTTATTAAATGCTTTGAAAAACATTAAGGGCGTCTTCGAAAAACTTGATTTTGTTGCCTTGCCGAAAAGCCATTGCAGATGTTTGAGTCCTCTGTAAGCATGCCAAGAACTATTAGAAAAGCTTAATTTTACACCGACAGCACGAATCTGTCATCAGAAAAACTCCATTTATGTGGCACACCGCATTTACTGCGTAATGTACGCACATATCAACAATAATATTAATTTTAATTTCAGAAAGCCGTTTAGCATTATTTTATAAATGAGTAATTGCGTTATAAAACAAAACAGTAAAAATTATTAACTAATTATTTATAACTGAAACTCCTTATTCTACCAAAATAATTCCTTTTTTCAAAATCATTTCACGTTGACTCCACACTATCCAGTTAATCACGCGACTGCACAAGATTCATGGTCAAACCGCCACCTCTTCCTAAATACGTTCCTGTCCCAATAGCAAAACCATACCAACTTCTTCCAGTATACAACGCCTATCCCAGATTCTAAGCTCTTCTCAATACAAAAGCGAGACAACATCGAAATAAAAAAGTTAGTAATCAAGTCAATGAGTTACTTCAGAGCAAAACCATAAATGTATCTGTCAACTCTTATTACTCTCCACTACTCCTGGTTACAAAAAGGAAACCAATAATACAAGAAAATGGCGGCTAATCACCGATTACAGGCAGCTAAAACGACAAGACTGTCAATGACAAATTCCCATTGACACGAACAGGGGACATATTGATTGTTCAATGACAAGTCCAGTAACAGCATTCTCAACCGATAATGGTCATTATCAATTAAGAAGGTTACCTGTTGGTCTCAAAATGACATCTAAGAGCTTCCAACGATTGCTTAGTATAGCACTTTCTTGTTTAGAAGCATAAACCTTTTTTGTACGAAAGTAGGTATCGCCAATCAAACTAGCAAGCTTATCAAACTGTTCCAAAAATTCACATACCACAACCTAACATTAAACCATCAAAAATGTAACTTTGTAAGGAAGTTACTTACCTTGGGCGCTTAAAGTGGGCCCACCAAAGCTCGAAAATATCAAAAATTATCCCATCCCCAAACACGCAAACGATGTCAAACGCTTTGTAATTTTCTGTAACTAATGCAGACGTCTAATAAAAAAATTTGCTGGCATTGTTACCCATTCAAATAAAATATTAAAAAGAATTCCCGAAACTAATTGAATCCTCCAATAGCCAGGCCTTGATAAGCCATTTGTTTTCATTGCAGTTGTCTACGAAACAGCTTTATACGCTATTATTTCTCAAAAAGAAATGGTACTTGACTTACTCGCATCTTGCGCAACCAGGTCACTAACAAACGTTATATATAAAAAGCGTTACTTACTATAGATGCGGCAAGACATTCGGAGTCCCTACAGATGAAGTGTTTTTAATCGGACCTTTTACACACAGAAACGTTTCATCACGACTAACACGGATCAGATTAGAACTATCTCATTATAATTTTAAGAAGGGTAAAAACAATACTAATGCAAACGTGTTGTCCTGTTGTGAACTAAACTTGGGCAATTATTGCTCAACAAATCAATCTAGTGGCAAACATCTTTAGTAATTACACGTAAAGTGGCCAAACAAAATAATGCAACCGACCAGATTAAGCTTGACCATTTTGCATGTGGCAGTGCACGTCCATAA